GCCAGCGGCCTCCCCAGCCCCCAGCGAAACGTGACGGGCAAGGGCGGAAATAACGTGGGACCAGTATGGGAAATAAACCGGGAGATCGTAAGGGGGGATGCCGTATGGGGGAGCAGAACGTGGGAGAAATGCGGGGGAGCTTGGCCAGAGCCTGTCTGGAGACCGGGCTTCATCCAGCCAAAGATGGGGGTGTCCTTATCATGTCCTGGCATTTGTGGTTTAGCTGGATTAGATAGCTGTAGATAGGCTTAGCGGTGGTCTAGATCGATGAGAAAAGGAAAGTGCAATACGAACGGTACGATGCAAAAGCGAAGATCACCTGGTGAAGAGCTTCCTGAGCTCCTAGCCATGTTGGAAGGGCATAAAGTCATTCCAAGTGCAGAAAGATAAAAGCTCAGGTAGGGCTTGCCATTACCTTGCACCCAACCTAAAAAAGCAAGGCCTTGTAAGACGGGAACTGCTAAAGCTGCTTCTGTTCATGAGTAATTGAATAGCTCTGACATGTAGAGCTGTTAACCAGGCATGGATGTCATAATTTGGTAATGAATATTGTTTTATGGGTGTTCTTAAAAGAACTGTAAAAATGGTGGTCGGCCCCGGGCTGTAGTAAAAGTATTTGTTGCCTGAATTACTGAGGGAGGTTCACTGCTCAGTCGAAACCTGTTGGGCAGTGTGGTCCTCAGTGCCACAAATATTGGGAAATGTGCTGGTAGAATTTGCTGAGGGCATGAGGGCAGGAGATGGAGTCAGGACAGAGAAGGAAAATGGAATGACATGACAACCCTGAAATTCGCTGGAGTAAAAACCAGGATGAAATTCAGCAATGGGGAGCTCATGAGTTGGAAATGAGTGAGAAGGAGCAGGTCATGCTAGCTGGTCATGGGAAGTCTGTGAGCTACCAGGAGCTGCCATGGGAGAGCAAGACATAATTTGGGAACCCGGAGGGTGATGCCTGGGGGGTGAGGTCAGTGCTAGGACCTCGGGCAAGGCTGTGGTGAGCGTTGTCCCAGGTGGGCTGTGGGGGACAGCTCCAGTCACCCATGGACGATGAGCTGCAAGCATGACGGCTGGGCTCCGGGGTGCTGCTCAGATGGTCAGAGAAACAAAGGGTCTCTGAGCATATGGATTTGGCTTCAGTAACCTACAGAAAAGGCTTAGGAATGGCATGGTTGCAAGCACTCTTTACGCTGGGTTTAATGCACAAGGGGGAGGAAAATAGTTACCGATAGTGTCTGTAGAGCCTGAGGGCAGCCCCTCCCCTGCAGGTTTGGCCATCTGGGCTAGGAGGCAGCCCGGGATGGAGCAGGCAGGGCTGCCCCGTCCCACTGGCGATGGTGGGGAGACGCTGTCAGGCTACCCCCCACCAGTGGGAGCTGCTTTTGTCTGGGTGGCCAGAGCTTGGCCCCACCTGAGCAACAGCTCCCACCCCATCATGGCCCTGCCTGGCCTGGCCATGGGTCTTGTTCAGCTGGAGAGTCCCAGGCTGATGCTCAACCCAGCCTCATCCCATCCCCAGGGAGGTGCCCGATGCTTGGGGCTTGGGCTGCCCTGGTGCCCCCCGGCTGCCTGCTCCTGGCTGTGGGGTGGGACAGGCCCTGGTTGCCAGGCCCTGCCCCAACAGACCCCCATGGGGAGCCCCCACCGCGCCTGGCCCCCACACCCCAGGGAGCCCCTGGCCTCAGGACACCCAGCACAGCTCTGTTGGTGGAAGAGCAGATGGCAACATCAACTGCACACGGACAAACATAGCTTGGAAACGGGAATAAAGTTTCTATCCACACCTACATTAGGGAACACCTTGTGCAGGAGCAATAGGAAAGAGAAAGATGAAAAATAGAATAAGAAACTGCTTCTAAAAAGCAGTTTGTTGCATTTATGAAAGGTATTGCGTGACATGACATGGGATGATTCCTGGTGACCTCTTTACATTCCCATGTTCCTACATGGAAGTAATTTTTGGTACTTTTTTCCCACATCCAAAACAAACCTCACAAACCAAAAATACGAATCAAGGACGCAAGCTGAAAAAAAAACCCAAAACAAAACAACATTAGGGAAGCATACAGTGAAAATATTGTGTGCTGTATTATCAGAGTTTTCTGCAAGCCTGTACTGATCTAAAATCCACAAAAGATTATGTGAAGAACAAACACAGAAACAACACAGTGGCTTACCCAAGTGAAAACAACAAAAGCTTTTTTGAAGGGTAACAGGGCCACTTATCAGCTTTGAGGGCCTTGTAAATTGTCTTTAAGTTTTGTTTTACAAGGCTGGTAATTTGGAGGTGAAAATATTATGTGCATAGATAAAAATCCTTTGGGAACAGAGGAGATAGGAATGGTAGGAAAAGACACATTTATCAGGAATGGTTTAGGGACAGAGGGTGACAAAGCAAGATACTTTATAAAGAAAATATTAGGATGCTGGGCCTTCTCTGGTCCAGGCAATAAGCTGCTCTATTTATGTTTTTTTTAATAGGTTCTCTCTGAAATAGTTTTGTTCTAAAGAATCATTCATAGATACTTGTGCCATTGCTTTTGTATCACGGGGGTAGAGCGTGTATGAGACAGCTGAAGCAACAGCAGCTGGGTAGGTGAGGGGTCTGAAACCGAAGCGCTAGTTTGAGGAGAGGACAACTCTGTGAATCAGTTTTGTGGGACAGCAGCGGACTGAGAGCTGTGGGCTATGGGAGGCCAACAGAGATACCACTGCCTAAATAGCTGTGGCCATCCTTGCTGAAAAATTCCATGTGAAACCATGAAATGGGACAGAAAGCTTCTATGGAAGCTACAGCAAACATACAAAAGTTCACACTCATTTCTTTTGAAATGAATTTCAAGTGGCAGTCATGTACCTTTATGCAGGTGTATGGCATCTAAAAAGCTTACATTGCTCAATTCCTTTGTCCTTTCTCCTGAGTAAAATAAATACACAACAGTTACTATGCTGGTTTTGGCTGGGACAGAGTTAATTTTCTTTACAGTAGCTAGTATGGGGCTAAGTTTTAGATTTGTGCTGGAAACAACGTTGATAACACAGGGATGTTTTTGATATCACTGAGCAGTGCTTACACAAAGTCAAGAGCTTTTCTGCTCCTCACCCCACCCCACCAGTGAGGAGGCTGGGGGTGCACAAGAAGCTGGGAGGGGACACAGCTGGGACAGCTGACCCCAAGGCATAGCCTATACTATATGTCGTCATGCTCAGCATATAAAGCTGGGGGAAGAAAAAAGAAAGGAGGACATTCAGAACGATGGTGTTTTTCTTCCCAAGCCGCTGTTATGCGTGATGGAGCCCTGCTGTCCTGGGGATGGCTGAGCACCTGCCTGCCCTTGGGAAGCAGGGAATAAATTCCTTGCTTTGCTTTGCCTGTGTGCGCAGCTTTTGCTCTCCCTATTAAACTGTCTTTGTCTCAACCCACCAGTTTCCTCACTTTTACTCTTCCAGTTCTCTCCCCCATCCCACTGCGGGGGAGTGAGTGAGCGGCTGGGTGGTGCTGAGTTGCCAGCTGGGGTTAAACCATGGCAGTTACCTTATTGCACTTTTGAGGGGAAAAAACAAAACAAAACAAAAAAACCATGAAAAGCTGTAAATTAGGTGTCTTCAGCCTCTTTAATGTATCTTGCTGTTTCCTGCTGTCTTCCCCTTTACCTCTTTATTTTGTATGGTTCTGCTTAGGTGGGTCACAAACCTGATTTTCTAAACATTGGGTGCTCACACTGCATTAGGTGGACTGCTAGATGGAAAGGAACGATTCTATATACAGACTTGCAGAACAGTGCAGCTTTGCCGGATTTATTTGCTTTCCTGCACACAACAGTTTTTGGACTGGTGGCAGTAAATGTAAAGCACTAGCATAGGCAGGTTACAAGTGATATCTACTCACTGATTGCTTTAATCCCTTCTAAACTTCAGTTTGTCCTATTTATATCACCTGCACATGCATCTATATGGACATTTTGACTCCATTAGCATTGCTTACCTTAAATACACTAATCTGGGTAATGACTTGAAAGCTTCCAGACAGCAGTTTTTGCAGGTTCTTCCCTCCTTTTGTATTTTCAGATGTAGGAGGCAGAGTGTATTAACGTCTGTGGATTGCACGCGTGGGTGTGGTTTGGTTCTCTGTTTTTCCTCAAGTGCTTCACGAGATACGTGGGTGTTTCATACAACCAACCTGCATTATAGACCTCATGGAATCAGCTTAAGGTTCCAGAGCACATTTATGAAGTAAAGGAGCATTGAAAA